ACAACACTCTTGTTAATACATCCCAGAATGATGTTGGCTTTTTTTGCAACAGCATTACTCTTGACTCATTTAGCTTGTGGTCCACTATGACTCCCAGATCCCTTTCTGCAGTACTCCTTCCTAGGCAGTCATTTCCCATTTTGTATGTGTGCAACTGATTGATTGTGCCTTCCTAAATGGAGTACTTTGCATTTGTCCTTCTTGAATTTCATCCTATTTACTTCATACCATTTCTCCAGTTTGTCCAAATCATTTTGAATTATAATCCTATACTCCAAAGCACTTGCAACCCCTCCCAGCTTGGTATCATCTGCAAACTTTATAAGTGTACTCTGTATGCCATTGTCTAAATCAATGAAGAAGATATTGAACAGAACCGGACCCAGAACTGATCCCTGTGGGACCCCACTCGTTATACCCTTCCAGCATGACTCTGAACCACTGATAACTACTCTGGGAACAGTTTTCCACCCAGTTTTGCACCCACCTTATAGTAGCTCCATCTAGGTTGCATCATAATGACAGACACCTCTCTGCTAGGCTGGGGAGTTCATCTAGACACTCATGCGACCCAGAGCAAGTGGACATCGCAAGAGACTGTGCAATACATCAACCTCCTGGAACTCAGAACGGTTGGGTAGGCCTGTCTCTAGTTTCTACCACTTATTAGGGACAAACACATAAAGGTCATGGACAACTTATCATGCATGTTTTACATCAATCACCAAGGAGGAGCAAGATCTCCCTCCCTCTGTACCAAGGCTGTCAAGCATGGAAATTGGTGCATACAGAACCAGATCACCACCACAGCGGCCTACCTTCCAGGGGATCAGCATGTGACCATGGATGCACTCAGCAGGCACTTCTTCCAAGACCACAAGTGGGAAATAGACCCCAGAATTGATATTCTGTCAATGGGGCACCCCTCAGATAGACTTGCTCGCCACAGAATTAAACAAGAAATGTACCCAGTTTTGCTTGAGAGGTGGACTGGGTCACCAGTCCTTGGGGGGGGATGCTTTTCACCTTCATTGGTCAGCTCTTGTACGCATTCCCATTGACTCCTTTAATAACCAAAGTTATGTACCAAATAAAAAAAGACACAGCCAGAATTATCCTAGTAATTCCAATCTGGCCCTGACAGATATGGTTTCCTTACCTGATTCAGCTGGCCATTTGCTCACCAATCACTCTCCATGCCGCTCCTGATCTCCTGGTGAAGACACGCTATGCCGATGGGAGACTGCGCTCCCATCAGTATTATTATTCCATCTCAGCAAGAAGTGGAAGCTATGTCGACAGAAGAGTGTCTCCCGCCGACATAGCGCCAGTGTGGACAGCACAAAACTTGCATTCGGAGGGGGAGGAGGCTTTTTTACATCCCTGAGCAACAGAAGTTGGATCAACATAAGCGGTAGTGTAGACCTGCCCTAAGAGTGGTTCACCTGCGCAGTGCTATATAACAGTGGCATGGGGCATGAGGCTGACTAGCATACATATGCGGGCTGAACGGACACTGCTATGAAAAATCTCTGATCAAAGGTGCAGGGGGCACTAGCACATCTTGAGTGGAGCACCCGTAGTGGGGCATACCTCAAAGAACCACAGTTACTACACAGGGTGCGTAACCATTTCTTTTTTTTAAAAGTTCATTGGATAATAGCAGTGTTTATTTTTAAGGCTTTTTTAATATTTTTATTTAATTAACTTTTCACAGTTGCAGGAAATTATGAGAGTGTTAGACAATAAATAATTAATGACAGTGGACGCTGAGATTCAAAAAGGTAAAGCTTTATAACTGTTACAACACAAGTTGTCATCAACATGTGTCAAAATATACAAAGTAAATATCCTTAAATCAAATTCTAGTAAATTCTTAAGCAGCATTTTTCTTACTTTACCTAACTGTAAATTTCTATTATTATCAATGGAAATATTTTTTCATCAGTATGGTGAAATTGATGTTTACAGACATTTACCAATAAAATCTAATCCTCCCAAGCCTAACTGTATGCCTCCTTGATTTTCCTGAAAATAAGCCATATTTGCTTTCATGGATTTTTAAAGTGATGCCTAAGTCCCATGATATAACAACTGCATCTCTTTCATTTAGTCGATAACCCAGATTTGCTAGCCATAATTTTTAATCTGAATAAGATGCGGCCCTGGGAGGGGGAGGGGGGTATTCAGTGGTGGTGTAGCTGTGTTGGTCCCAGGATATTAGAGAGACAAGGTGGGTGAGGTATATCTTTTATTGGACCAACTTCTGTTGGTGAGAGAGACAAGCTTTCGAGCTACACAGAGCTCTTCTTCAGCTAAATACAAGGTCGAACAGATTAGCATAAGTAGTTAGCACATATTCTAAGGGACCATTCAAGGTGAAGTGGCTTGTTAATATCACTGTAGTCATAGGACAAAAAGGGGGGCTAGTGGATTAGGGATTGTTATAATAAGCCATGGGCAGTCATGCATTGTTTGAGCACCTATCCATCACCGGTAGACAAAATCTGATAGCTTTTAGGATGAAGCAGTACAGTGATCCTACTGAAATTTCCTCCAAATCTAAGTATGTTGGTCTTTTCTCATTTTAGTCACCCCATTTCTTAGAAGATTAGGGTAATTATAGGCCTGTCATTCTGACATCGATCCCAGGCAAGATAATGGAGCAGCTGATACGGGACTCGATTAATAAAGAATTAAAGGAGGATATTATAATTAATGTCAATCAACATGGATTTATGGAAAATAGATCCTTTCAGATTAACTTCATATATTTTTTATGAGATAAGTTTGCTTGATAAAGGTAATAGTATTGATGTAATATACTTAGACTTCTGTAAGACATTTGACTTGGTACCGCACCACATTGTGATTGGGGGAAAAAAAACTAAAAAGATAAGAAATCAACATGGTGTATTTTAAATACATTAAAACTGGCTAACTGATAGGTCTCAAAATGTAATTGTAAATGGGGAATCATATCAAGTGGGTATGTTTCTCAGAGTCCCACAAGGATCGACTCTTGGCCTTACACTATTTAACATTTTTACCAGTTACCTGGAAGAAAACACAAAATCATGATTGATAAAGTTGGCAGATGACTCACACATTGGAGTGGTAAATAAGGAAGAGGACAGGTCACTGATATGGAGTGATCTGGATCACTCAGTAAGCTGGGCTCAAGCAAACAATATGTATTTGAATAACCTAAATGTAAATGTATATATTTAGGAACAAAGAATGTAGGCCATATTTACAAGATGGGGGACTCTATCCTGGGAAGCAGGGATTCTGAGAAAGATTTGGTGGTCCTGGTGGATAATAAGGTAAACATGAGCTCCTAGTGTGATGCTGTTGCCAAAAAGGGCTAATGCATCCTTGGATGTATAAACGGGAATCTTGAGTAAGAGTAGAGAGGTTATTTTACTTCTGTATTTGGCACTGGTGCAACTGCTGCTGGAATACTGTGTCCAGTTCTGGTGCCCACAGTTCAAGAAGGATGCCGATAAATTGGAGAGGGTTCTGAGAAGAGCCATGAGAATGATTAAAAGATTAGAAAAATATGCTTTATATAGTAATAGTCGCAAAGAGCTCAATCAAAGAGAAGATTAAAGTGTGATTTGATTAGTCTGTCAGTACCTACATGGGGAACAAATATTTGATAATGGGCTCTTCAGTCTAGTATAGAAAGGTATAACATGAGCTGATGCCTGGAATTTGAAGCTAGTTAAATTCAGACTGGAAATAAGGTGTACATTGAGAGTAATTAATCATTAAAAAAATGTAGCAAGGGTCCTAGTGGATTCTCCATCACTGGCAATTTTTAAATCAAGACTGGATTTTTAGAAAAAATATGCACTAGGAATTTGTGAAAAATCTATGACTCATGTTAAAGAGGAGGTCAGATTAGATGATCACAGTGGTTCCTTCTGGCCTTGGAATCTGTGTGTTGTATCATCTGCTACAGAACTTGTATGCAATTTTATAAATTGGAAATATCCTTTCCCATAGTCACCAATAGTCGAGGAGGATGTTGTACTGGGTGGAAATAATATCAACAGTGTACCAAAACAGTTGTCTACAATACTTATTCTATTGCCTTCACGTAACATGGAGGAATGATTCCTGAAACCACAGTACAGCTGTTTTTTAGCAGAAGAGAAAAGCTTTGACAATATCTTGGAGAAAAGTTTCCGATACTTTTCATTTCTCTCAACCAGATGTGCCAGCATTAGCTTTTGGGCTTTTCCTTCTTCCAGGCCTCGGTGGGAGAAGAGTGCAAAGAGGCAATCAGTTCTAAATTATTTCAAAGTGGATAAAAGATAATAGAACAAGAGCAAGCTAGTGTAACAAGACCTCTGCACAAATATTCATCGGAACACTGGTATATAGTTATCAGAAGGACTATGTCCCCATGTTCTAATGCACATGTGGCACTACCATTTCCCTGTTGCCTTCTCCCCTCACCCTTCACTTTCTTGAAAAGAATCCTTTTTTTCCTTAAATACATTTAAGCATGAAGCGCTTTGAGATCTACTGATGAAAAAGAAATAGGGATTGTGTTATTACCACTGTGATCCTTGTTTTTTGCAGAAGTCTGAACTTCAAAATTGCCATCAGCAGCAAGCTGTTAGGTAGAGGGTACTTGCAAAACTGAACTATGAGCTTAACCCTAGGCACATACAGTTATAGAGCATCCTGTTGTGAAACCATTGTCAGCACTGATAGAGCAGGGTGATCAAGATGATAGGCATTAAGGGGATTATGAAATTGCTTACGTTTAACTGGCTCAGAGTACATACTAATTGCTGGGAGTGACAGTGCTGCTTTCATTTCTGGGGGGACTCAAACCCTTGTTGTTATTGGAGGACGTTTCATGGAATTAAGAGTTAGAAGTCCAGAGTAGCAGGAGACTTCAGCAAGAATTAATTTAAAATTTCTTAATATAATTTCTTTTTGAGTCCTGTTCAACAGTTTTGTAATTTCTTCTGCCTCTTCAGGCACACAGACAAATGGCCTGGACTTTCAGAAGCAGCCTGTGCCCGTTGGAGGGGCAATCTCTACAGCCCAGGCTCAGGCCTTCCTTGGACACCTTCATCAGGTAAAACCAAGACACTTTTTAAACTGGAGGTGGTTTGGGAAAGAAGTGGATGGGGAAAGATTTCCCCCCCCTCCCCCCCCGTACAATTGGCAGCTGAATCCATGAGTAGTGTAGGGGAGCACTGTCATCCTGAGAAAGATGTGAGATTTTTTTTTTCTGCCTGCTAAATGTTAGAGGCTAGTCATGAATTATTGTACTGATCTGTAGCCCACATATCAAATACACTGAGAATTATTATTGGGAAATAGCTCTTTTGGGAACTTTTAGATAACAGATGCCACCACAGGGCCATATTACAGATGAGAGTACCTATAATTAAAACACCATATGCCTTTCATAGTTCTTTCAAAAATCTGGAGAAGGGCGTAGGAAATGATTACTCTGGAACTGTACAGGCCACTGGGATTTAATGTTTACTCCTCTTTGGAAAAATGTTCATTAGAATCACAGGTGTCCAAAGACAAGGCCAGAATTGGTCTCTTCTCTTAAGAATTATATTTGCCCAATAACTGTCCCAACATGGACCTGGAACTTGTCAATACCTAGTTAAAGAAAGGAGAAGTGATAGTGAGGGCTACCAGTACAGAGTTCAAGTCCTCCTGTTGCTTCCCATGCTCAAGGAAAACTTAAAATGATGGAACTAGACAAGCATATGTTTCTACAAATTTCTGAGTCATTTTTAGGAAGATTTATTTCATGGAGTTGTTTTCCTTAGGATATTCAGGCTTCTATTTCCCTTAATTGCTTCTCTACAGCCCCTATTCTTACGGAGTCAAAGTTATACTTCAGAGGTAAGGTGTCTGATCACACTTCGGGTCTGAGAACAAATGTCTTTCCCTTCCCTGGCACCAAGTTTAAACTTAAAATTACTGGAAATAATTGGCTGACCCCATGTGTTCAGGGTCTGGGGTTACACAATTGTTATGGTATAATTGAGGTACTCAGGCTTTTATGTTCACTTTTAAGAGCTCAGAGCTGCCATTTTATTGTACTGAGCATTCAGTACTTTTTTGTCACAAAATTATAATTTTCCAGAGGATAGAGGTTTACCTAGGACCTGTGGAATAACAGTGTGAATGTTTGAGTACACTGAACCAATAGGCTGTTGGAGAATGCCTTTCTTGCACACTTCGCTCTCAGTACCCTGAATGTGCGTGTCAGTATGGTATGCAAATTCTGAAGGTCTTTTGTGTTTCCAGAACAGCTTGTTTTAATGTTCATTTGTCATATGAACTTACCTGAAATCAATAACTTTTATCAGTACAGTATTATGTCACCTTGCCCTGAAAAGTATTTTTAAAAAGTTGCTAAGACCATAACTTTTTTTGTGACGATGTATGCTGCATTTCTTGAATCTCTAGTTTCAAGAAATCTCCAAGCCTTCTTTTGATGCATCTGGCAATGGCCAGTGTCAGACTGGCTACCACCTTAGCTATGAACTATTAATGTCTTCCATTATAGCGACAAAGGGTCCTGTGGCACCTTATAGACTAACAGAAGTATTGGAGCATAAGCTTTCGTGGGTGAATATCCACTTCGTCAGACGCATGTCCATCATAGGAATTCTTAGTGGTGACAGCTGTGATTACTTTCAAGATGGAGTGCTTTACATCTGACCAATGCCAAATACAATACAAGGTGCCATTCAGAAACTGTCTTCTAAAATACTCTAATAGGAAAGTGTGTGCATAGGGGGATGGAGATGGGTGGTGGGGAGAGAGAACAACACGATCTATGTTCAAGTGTGTGCTGGCTGCACTTAAGAGACCTAAGTTTGTAAGGTCAACCTTTAGTGCTGAGAAAGCCTGGATATAATTATTTTTACCTATTTCACTAGGACAGCGGTTTGATTAGGCTCTTTGGGCTATATGTTGTTGAAATCTCAGAACACAACAGGCAAGGCAAATTAAACTTAACTTCTAGAGATGAACTCTGTTTGGCGACAGGAAATGCAGAAAATCTTGTAGAATCCCACCCAGGAAGGTATGAAACATTTCAAGAGATGGCTCTGTAAGGTCAGAGCTGCCACAGCATGGAATTTTTGTATCTGGATCTGAATTAAAGCTCTCCAACCCACATAGAGCCAACAGGAAAGCAAGTATAGTTAAATATGTTACCACTCTCATGCAACACATCTCAGTATAGGGATGTCTTCCTTTTCTTAAAGGACAGCATGCCACATTTGATCATTTGTTTTTCTTGTACTCATTATGTGTTTCCTGGTTCCCAGTAAAGCAGTGGATTTCAAGCATGGTCAGTGATGAAATATTCTACAGGCTATAATCCTGCCCTTTGGAAGAATTGGCAATTACGTAACATTCTTCCTTCATAGTAGGAGTGATGCTGATGATGTTAACATGAAGAGGGTTATTGAAGCTGACTACAGTGTATGAGCGTATAATTTATGTGGTAACACGAGAGAGAATCTTTTTCCTGTTCATAATATTTTGTCTCTGTCTTGCTCTTAAAAATCCCAAGTTCTGGAATGTTGCTTTCATTTCACTTTCCTGCCTCCTGTGGCGCCCCCCCCCCCCCCCCACGCTTTCTTGGGAGTATTGGACCAGGTCATCAATCTCAAAAATTGAATTTGAGTTTGAGTACGTCAGTCAGCGCTGCCCTTGTTAAGGGTATCCCCGTCCTCTGTATGTAATTTTTTTTTGCAGTGTTTAGGGACAGTGAGAGTGCTTGGGTGGTGGATTGATGTGTGAGAACAGTTTTTATGTGGTATATGAGGTTCCTGCTGCATGTGTAAATTCCCATTGTGTGATGTAAGGAATGTGATGCATGCAGCGTGCGTATTTGGGGTAATGCCTGTTCTGAAGTTAAGAAGTTGATTAATAGGGTTTTCATTTTAAGAACGTAGGAGATTTCTGCATAAAAATTATATTTCCCAAAGAAGACTCACCCACCCAAAAATGCTCCTTTCATAGTCAGATTCACATCAACATCCAGAGGTCCTAAACTGACAATCTTTTCTCAGTAAGAGATGGACAGATAACACTGTGCAAGGTCCATATGGACTTGTCTAATATTTCTCAGCACTACCCCTACTTTCAGCTACTGCAGAATGTTTTAGGGGGTCTGTGTTTCATCTTTCAAAGCTTTATATGACTGTTACTTCACTTCATCTCAGTTCTTTGCACTGTGTTGTAGGTCCAGCTCGCTGGAACAAGTTTACAGGCTGCTGCTCAGTCCTTAAATGTACAGGTAAGGACTGCCCCTCATTCTCCCATTCTCCATCAAGTATCTGTTTCATTAAAGATAGTTTTCAGGCTGCGAGCTGTCCCATTCTAATTACATTTGTTTGGGTTTGTAAAATAAAAGAGAGGTTGAGTAGTTTCACAGCTGCAGAACAGATTGGGTGATGGTCAGCAGTAGGAGCTGGTTAATTCATTGGTGCTAATAATTTTGTGTCAGAGGTTAGTGAGCTGTTGTAAATAGTTCTCATGCTGCATTACAAACTCCAATAATCTCACATGTTCCTTGATTCCAGCCTTATTTTAATCATAGATTACTTTGCAAGCTGTGTTTGATATCTGAACATAGGGGGCCAATGTAGCATTGATTTTTAAGGTTGCTGGTGTGGATCACTCGGGTTTCCTACAACATCAAGTAAATTATACCTAGTAATTTAAAAATAAACTGGGCTACTTGCTCCTCATTGATCTGCATGGTATAGCAAAGCATTCAAACTTTGTGTGATGCAGTATGCTCCATAGCATTTCAATCAACCTACTGCTTCCTTTCAATACAATATTCAAGCAACATGCCGAAAGGGGAAAGGGATGTAGTTTTATTGAAAACTGGTTTCAATACTGCAGTGTACTAAAGAACTGGGATAGTGCATTCCATGAAGCCAAATAGAACATGGACCCAGTTACATGTGATGATGCTTTAGAAAGAAGGGGAAATACAGTGATCTTCCTTTTTAAGAGAAAGGAGGCAGAAAATTGCCTTGGTTGCCATGGTAAACTTCCATCCCTGAGAGAGATGTTGGCAAACAGGCTGTATCACCAGTGCAGAATGTTTACAGTCCTATGCTGTAATTATCTCTCAGTGACTGGCAGAATGAATCAGAGGCTTTATGTTAATTAGCCTGCTCTGCAGTCCCCAAAACAGGTGGTGGAAAATATGCAAATCTATGCAGAATTTTAATGCTCTGCATAACCAGTTTTAATTACCATAAAACCCTCTCTTTCCTCTTCAGACACTCTCTTGCATTTCCTCCCTCATGGCTGCAGTATTCTCTTCTCCATTTAAAAAAAAACAAAACAAAACCTAATTTTAAGTAAAACACACTGCATAGCTATATAAATGCTTAATTTTTTATTTTAAGACAATTTGTGTTGGGCTTCTTGCTAGATTTAGTGAAGCATATGAGGGCATTTCAAACCAGTCGCCCATTTAGCTAGCATTCTGTTGACTTAATGTCCTTAATGCAGATGTTTGAAAAACATATACTCCCTTCACTCCATTGTTCTGGATTTTAGTCCGTGAATCATTTTAAGTGCTTTGTGGTGGGCAAATATTTTTTCTTTGTGTTAAAAAGTAGCATCAGTGATGCTGCAGCAAACAAAGTGGGATCTAAAAATATTTCAGGTACAAAAGAACTGGGTGTTTTATTTTGTTTTAACCCTAAGCTGTGTTAGCTACACATGTTGGAGCAGTCATAGCTGAGATGGTAGGCAGAAAGAGCCATTTCTTAAACCCACTCTTAAAATGAACCCAAGGGCTTTTTGTATGCAGATGAAAGATTTTGATGTACAGTGTAGAGATAGTAGTGTACACATTAACATCTGTTTTACACTATAAAGAGTTATATTTTTTTCCTAGTCTAAATCTAATGAAGAATCTGGGGACACCCAGCAGCCAAGCCAGCCTTCCCAGCAGCCTTCAGTGCAGGCGGCCATACCCCAGACCCAGCTCATGCTGGCCGGAGGACAGATCACCGGGGTAAGGTTTACCCAAGAGAATTGTAGTAAGCCTCCTGTCTGGCAGTACTGCCATCATTCACCATCCAATTAGAATCGCCCACCAACAGATAGTAGAGTGGCTGTCCAAGGTTACTGTCACTTCATTAAAGAGGAATTTCATTAAAGAGGAACTTTCACACAGGTGGCAAGGGGAGCGAGAACATTTTTATATAAAAAGCAGTCTGCTTGTCAGTAGTTCTTAGTGCCTGGTGTTTGTTGGAGAAATTTGTATTACAATATTAGAATTCCTTGGTTCCTGTTCATTTTCTCCGTTCCTGTTCATTTTCTCCTATTTGACCCTGCAATGAAATCAGAACTCTAGGTTTGACATTAGACTGGTGTAGAAGTCATGGATATCAGAAAGTCAACGTTTTGACTTCACTGTGGGACCATATAGAAGCATGAGAGGGAAACACCATGTCAAAATGTGGGTACATGTGTAGCAAAAGTGATGGGAACTTTATTACAGTTTATATCCCCTAACTTTTTAAATATTTTGCAAAGGGCATAAAGTTTGTGTTCTCTGAGCAACTCGATCTTTAGAAATCATTAATGTTTTTGCTTATGCTCACAGAATTCAGCCCCTCCATTTAACCTGTCAGTCCTGATTTTTCTAGAGTTTTTTGTTTTAAATAGTAAAGTTTTTTTTGGGGCGGTGGAAGTTTGGTGGGTTTTTTTTGTTTTTTTAAAGGGTAGTTATGCCTGTGAAATTGTTGCAACCGCCAGAAGTGTTTAAAATGAATTAGAAGAACAAACTTGAGTGGATTGGTTTGGTTGGAGAGGTTATTTCCATTTCATCAGCTCTTCAGATTGAGGTTTTTGCGCAGGAATGGGGTATTAGGAGGTTATTCCATCAATGCATTGGGTCTCTGATTTAAATTGTTGGGTGATGTCACCTGCAAACTTGAATGGTGCCATGTCTAATTCAATCCAGTTTGCTGCGGAATCCTCAAAGTAGAATAGCTGTATAAATTATCCAGGCCCACATTTAATGGGTTTTGTTTAATTTAATTTGTATTTTACTATTTTAAAGTACATTTGCTTTCAACAACAACAAAAATTACGTGGTGGAAGAAAGTTATTAAAACCTATTCTAAATAAGTCATTTTTGCTTTGTCTGATGAATGTCTGTGGTACTGAGACATTCAAGACTCCAGGTTTGTGTAGATGGGGATTGTATTAAATGTGGACATCAGGATTCATTTATATGTAAAGGAGAGACTAGCCACCTGTTTCATAGAGATAATGTGTGTTTGGAAGATGAAGGGATGTAAACTTGCCAACTCTATTCTGTTTAAAAAAAAAAGCAGATGGGAGGGGAGACTTGGAGTGAAACAAATGGAGCTCATATTCTTCACTTATATCTTAAGGCATAATGAAAATGATGGAATATGGCAGGGTTTCATGCTAATGTGAAGCAGCTGGGGTGTTATCAGTTCATTCAGTAGCCATAGCCAGCACTCCTGCTTTTCTTTCATCTGGCTAATCACTTGCTGTTCTGTTCGGTGTACATTTTCCTTTCAAATCCTGTCAGGGCTGATTCTTTCTTTTTGCCTGCTAGTTAATTACCTTTTTGCATGAACCTTGGAGTAGAGCTGTGGAGAAGCTTGCGTGATTCCTCAGGTTCTGATTGCAGCATAACACTTAAAGTTTCAATGCTTCTACCAAAATTGTGCTGTAGGTTGATTGCTATGTTATGTTGAGTAGCCAGCTGCCCTTACATAAGGTGCCTAGGTTGGCCAATGTCTGTTACCTGATTAATAGCTGGTACTTTGTAATGGGAACGATTCTTTCTGGTGTTAATGACTGTTTGTTCTAATTTTTTCTAGCTCACGTTGACGCCAGCCCAGCAGCAGTTATTATTACAACAGGCACAGGCACAGTTGCTGGCGGCTGCAGTGCAGCATTCAGCCAGCCAGCAGCACAGCGCTGCAGGCGCCACCATCTCGGCCTCCGCTGCGACGCCGATGACGCAGATTCCTCTTTCTCAGCCAATACAGATTGCACAGGTGAGAACTGGGGCTTGTGTGGGTTGAGGGAAGCAGATTTAACCTGAAAAAAACACATCCACTCGTTCTTCAAGTGGCTTCTATATATTTTCACTTGTGGGATCACAGGCACCTGTGCCGTAGGCTTCCAGAATCTTGTGTTGAGCAGTGTCCACTGGGATCACTCATTCCTCTCTTCTTCTCACCCCATCATGGAGGACTTCAGGGGATCTAAAAAGGTGTGTCCCCAACTATCCCTCAGTTCTATTTCACTGCTTATGGTGCCACAAACTTTTATCACACACCTTGTCCTCAACAGTTCCCTTGTT